CATGCTTCACCAAATCTCAACAAATATTAAGACAAAACTGCACAACAGTGGCAAGGATGTGTATTTTTCTCTTAAAAAAAAAAAGTAAATAAGGGCTAATCTAAACAGGTTTTGTACTAACTGAATTAGATTGGTAGCTACAGATCCTGTTTACTGGGGAAAACAAACAAAACCACCCAACCTATTTTTTATATATAGCTTTATATTAGAGCTATATAAATCCACATTTGATGATTACAACATTTCAGCTAAAATTTCTCCTAACAGTTTTTAGTTAAATCAACATAAGAATTTTAGACCAGCCCTAATTTAACATGCAGTGTGACTCAGTTATCAAAAATCTTAAGATTACTTCCATTTGTTCAAGGTATACCATCCACTTTTGCTACGTTCTTCATATATAATCAAGAGTGCCTAAAATGTGCAAATAACTGTCTCCAAAATGTTTTAACCTTGGAAGCTGTAAAATGTTTTGTGACGTTAAGAATCTGTTCTTATTCCTTATTGGTCCTTACCATATAGTGTTAGGTTCTCCTATTACTGTTTTTGAGACTATTTCATGATCTAAAGTATATTTCACATCAAAGCTGAAAGGAGGGCAGGGGGAGCTGGCTTTTGGTGGAAGGTGGGGAATGGGGGGCACAGGCAGGGAAAGGCATTCCTTCTCTCAGCCACACTGAAATCAAAGAATGGGCAGTGATCCAGACAGTATACGTCCCCTGCCAGCTTTGCGGCTCTCCATCTACAAGAGTCACTGTGGGGTTGGTTACTTTTTTTGTAGAAGCAAAAGAGTACTTTTCTCATGCAGCTGCACCTTTGACATCATATAAATGGTCCAAGTTACACAGGTATATGAAAACTGTACTGTGTAAAACTTGCACGTAATTATTTAGGTATACCTTCACTTAGGGCAATGCTGCTATTATTCCCTGTTCCAAACCTTCCAGTGTCCTGAACTATCCTACTTCAACGTCTTGTGTTTTATTTTTATGGGTACACCAGAGTCCCATTTTCAAATTTTACTCTGCAGCTCAGTTAGGTACTATGAAGAAGTGTACCTTCAGGAACCCAGGCCCTAATGAAACAAACAATGCAACATTTACAGTAAGACAACAGGAACTGGCAACACTGGAATTACTGGCTCTTACTGTAGTGCAGAATAACTAGACTGCTGCAGTGCAAAAAAAGAAAAAGAAAAGCTTCTGCGAGAATTCTGCATTAATTCCAATCAGGAAAAAAGGGAGAGGAGAGAAAAAAAAATAAAAATCACAAGAGAACTTAATCACAGAGAAAGACAACATTAAAATCTTGGTCTAGCTTCATGACAGTCTAGACACTGGAATGCCACTCACCAACCATATAATCTGTGCAACAAAACTAGTATTTCACAAACATCACACAAACAACATTGACTCTGGAAACCATGTTCTATGCTGACGGTTTGTGCAAATTCCACACCATTTTTATGGCATAGTGGATTTCCAAGTTATTTGCATGAAGCAGCTAAATTCAACTCGTTCATTCACTCATTTCATGTTATTAGAATTTAAAATTTCCTCCCCTATTTTGCACAAAACGGGCATCTGGAAATACTTAATGCCTTTCTTGGGGGAAAAAAAAAAGAATGGTTTAACTTCACTTTATAATTTAGGATTCATTCTGATTTAATTCTTATGGTAAATTCTGGATCCATGTATGAATTAACCTAAGAATTTGAATCAACTTATCTGTTAAGGCTTTCTAAAATTTCCTAGAGACACTAAGGGCGAAATCCTGTACCTACTGAACAAAGCTACTTAAAGACTTGCCACTGGGGGTCAGGAGAGCTAGGATTTCACCTTGGTCTTCAGACACAAAACGTGAAAGTCTTAAAGCAATGCATTAACAGTAGCAAATCAACCTAATTAGAACTTTTACTTTTTCCATTGCCAGATGTGCATTGTTGTCTTTTTTTAATTTTTCTTTTTTTATAGAAAAAATAGAGTATTTAAGGAGTGACCGTGACAAATTGCGGTGAAAAATTTTTTTTGTGAAAATTTTATCTTTACATTCATTAAAGTTGATTTGAAATGCTACAAGACTAGATGCCTAGAAGCAAAATCTACAGGAAGACTATAAAGGCTTCTGGTCTTTCTATATTGCAGTCAGTCTAAAATAAAAAGAAAGGCTGAAATGAAAGTCTCTTTTGCTAACTAGTCCTTTTTCCCAACCAGGTTTAAAAACCAGAAAATTAAAGGGGATGTTAGAATGTGTAGCGCATCGTTTCATTGTTTGGTTTGCACACAGAACAGTTCACAATCAGTAAGAAAAATAGGAAGTTAGCAACTGTGCATGCACCAAAGAATCCTAAGACAGTTCTCAGGTTTTTGTGTGTGTTTTTTTTTTGTTGCTTTTTTTCACAGGCATTGCTAGTTCAAGAACCAACAGTCAAAGAATACTGGCACTTTAAGAGGAATGAAGTTTCCACTGTCATTTAAAACAAGCATTCAGGTAAAGCTAACAGGATCATGAAGCAGAAAGTAACGTAATGCTAAAACAAATGCTAATAATTTAGTGTAATGTACAAAAATTACTTAAGTACTTCTTAAGAATAAGCATAAACGGTATTTACATAATTATACACTTTGTCTTTGTCTTCTTTTTCTTCTTTTTACCATCTTTGCTCATCTTCTCTTTGTGTTTTCTGATTTCTCGAACTAACGTATAGAAGGCATCATCAACACCCTGAAAAGATACATAACGCACACATTAATGTCACATTAACAGACTTAGACACCTGCTTAGGTACAGCCTGTTTTCATCTGACTTGATCAGGTGAAGTGTGTTCCATCAGCTGCCTGTTTTGCTGCCTGCCAGGAGAGGTTAGACTGTCTTCTCCTTCATCAGGTTTTAATAACGTCGCCTTAAGTAGACTGTGGGTTGGAGGAACTGCAGGGGCAACAGTTCTCTCAAGCATTCCTGTTTCTTGGGAAGGGGCGTGCTGGAAAAAACGTATTCACATGGAAGGGGAACTACAGTTGTCTCCTGTCATAAGAGGAACACATCTGTCTGCATGACTGTGCATGGGGCAGAGGGGCAAGCAGGAGAGCCGCTTTGGGGAACAGGCTGCCGTTACTCCTGGCTACAGGCTGTTCCTCTCCTGAGTTCTGAGGAGCACTGAAACAACCACCTGAATGAACTGCTATGACACCAGCAACAGCTAGCACCTGCCTTCTCTCTTTCTCAGCTGTTCCCCAAATTGGGCTTACAGCAGCCCGCAGGTGAGGTACGGCTCAGGGGTTGACCACAGATACCCCACAGGTCCAATCCCATTCCTTTTCTTACCAGATTAGTAATTTAGTGCACTACCCTCTTTCTCCATTTCAAAGAGGGCACATGTTGCCCCACCTTAAACTAGAGACGTTCTGAAGCCTTAGTTGGCTTTGTTTACACCTTAATGATCTATATGCAGCTTTAAAAAGTAAATACAAATATTTGTAGCAAGAATTCAATACCAAAGAGATACTTATGATTATTCTACGTATTCAGGTCATTTCTCAGCCACACTGATACAGTAATTACACCACAGTTTTATAAATCTTTACATTTGCAAATCAATAAAATCAATCCCCCCTTCCCATGATAAATTATTATTTGATAAATCATTCTATTCAGATTCTATAAAGACATATGGAACACGTTATCTATGTTGCTGTATCATGTACAGTCACTTAAAATCTCCACGGCTCCAATAGTTAAGCTACAGAAAAAAGCTAGTGTTTCTTCACATTGAGTAGTTGTTCATTATTTGGGGGGTAATTACAGCTGACAAAAATTAACTCTGGTCAAAAGAGACCAAAGCATCTAAAAACCTGATATGAACCATTCTCAAGTACAATGTTATATGGTATACTTTGTAACAACCTATTTACATGAAAGAGTTTATTCTACTGCTTAGCTTTCAGGTTGCTCCAAATTCCAAACAAGTACCCATGTTCTCAATCAGCCTTTACATTTAATAGTTTGAGTACTCAGACAGTTATAAAATCATTATAATAAAAATTTACCTTGATTCTTCACTGCCTTACTCCTTTTATTGTCTTTTAGATAGATCAGAAATAGTTGTATAACATTAACATATCATAGCAGCCAACGGCACCACTATAGAACTGAGCATAGCAATTTAGCCCTACAACTGGCAGGCAGCTTCCCACCTCGTCAGCTACAGCGTTTGCCTTTGAGCTGGCAATAAAAATTACAAGTCTCTGCTTACTCCTGTATGCCTACTTCAGTAAAAGAACTGAAAGTGAACTCTGGAAAAAAAAAAAAACCCAAACAAAAAACACAAGAAGCCAAAAATCACCTAATTCATCACTGTTTCAGTCAAACTCCAAATGGTGACAAAACTTAATACGGAAAGCCCAAAAGTGAGGCGTTAAATAGCTTCACATATAAAGCAATGCTCACAGTATAACCTAAATTTATTAGAAACCTTTACATTCAAGTTCATAAAACATTTACAAATAACTGATGTTCGATCAGTCCTTGGTAGCCTATCTCCCAATACTAACTGCACGCCTTTGCAAGGTCCTGTAATATAGGAAATAAACTTGCAAATAACATTCTAAATTTTAAAATATTCTTGATCAATATAAAATTGATGGAGCGTGCCTAATGAAAGAGTAGCATTGGTTCTGGAAAAAGTCACGTCCCCCATGGATCTTTTGAGAATTAGAAATGCTTGGTGTTGTTTTACAGAGAGCTAGTGTATTTTCCTTATAACTTCAGCATTGCTGTACAAAGTGAACATTTAGCAATGTTCATGTAGGG